GCCCCGGGTTTCTCCGACCAGCTCCCGTGGCACCAGCCCGGCCCACGCCCCGCGGACGGCGCAGCGACTGCTGCCACCGGGCTCTTCTTCCAACAGCAAAACCCCTCCGTCACCCGGCACCGTCTCTCTGCCTCCGGATTCAATTTCTGCTTCAAAAGAGCTCTTCACCTCCCTGCCCTGCCCAAGAACAAAACCAAACCAACCACCATTCCCCCGCGCCCACGACCCGTGCCCCGGCTCAAACAGTGCAGGTAACTATACTGCTGGTGCTTAAATCGTCCCTTGACATCAGACGTGGTAACGGTCTACTTCGATAGTCTCGCGCCTCAGCAGGCTCCTTTTTTTAGGCAGCATGCACGGATTAACTAGAACTCGAGACATCTGACGGTTACCTGAAATCAGAGTCAAAACCAGGGGAACTGATGGTGCACCTGTAATGTCTCGTGCACGGACAGCATGCGGACTTCCAGTCACCAACGTCAATTTACTCGCCTCGCTGCATGTGCTGGGTTAAAAAGATGTGAAGTCTGAAAAAGTCCTGGACATTACCAGGAGGGATACGGATGACAGCAGGACACGAAGCTACCGCTTCACATCTCCAGAAAACCTTGGTAAACCCACAGCCTCAGTACTGAATGTTGTCACATTCCCTCTTATGAAGGTCACAGTTTTGCACTGGAAAGATGCAAGGCTACCTTCTTGTATAAGGTGAAACTAAATAGGCTGCAGTTTCTAATGTCCTTAACACTGGAGGGTAGAAGAGGCAGATACTGGACTGCAGAAAGTGGCAAGACTATGTATGTCTCCTAAATAGCATTTCCTGTTGCCACTGTTAGGGACAGAACACCGGTATAGACTTCCGACAATAGCTCCAGCCCCACAGGTCACTTTGTATGTTCTTAAGGACATGCGGTACAGGTAAGAATGGAATGGAAAAGTGATAATGCTTTAATTACTTCGACAGCCTCTGTCTTGTAGACCCTTCTGCTGAATCAGTTTCTTCGTATCATAGTTAAGCCTCTTTCTCCACTGAAACAGTAAATGTCAATCCCTGAAATGATTAGGAATGCCATAATGAGATTGCAGAAGAAAATATCTATAAATTTTTGAGTCTCTAAACACGGCGTAGCCCAGAAATAAAGATCAAAATTTTATTTCCATGTTGGTAATAAAAATAATTCCATGACTTCTGTAAACCATTGCATAAATGCTATAGCATAAAAAAGTTTTAACGAGTGTTACCAGTTTTAAACAGTTCATTACAAGTAAATAAGTATTCATTATAAACAGTATGTTTTGTATTAAGAACAATTTCATTCACAAAATCATTTCTGCCTTTACACTCAAAACATTAATGGCTTCCATAAATTAACACGAGTAAAAATTTTGTATTTCTTTAGGGTCTGATGATGACCATGGTTACATACACACACTGTGACAATAATATTACTACCTATATTTAACACTAGGATGCTCTGATAACGCTACAGAACAAAACGAGTAAGCTAATAATCTGCGATTCAAAGAAGACTAATAATAAGCCTCTGACATGCAACTTGGGATCTATCTGTAATTAGTATACTTCTGTTTACACTGCAGCTCCTAACTGTAAAGCCCCTGAGAAATCACAATTTTAATCTACTATTCCCCAGGCTAAAATAATTGTGACAACATAATGGCATTCACATTAAAATTTATATTCTTACAAAAATTTACACCGAACTTTGTCAAACACCAAAATGAATCTCGAAAATCTATTTAGTTGCTTTTATGCATTTTGTGAATTCAGCAAGTGACTCTGCTGCAGTGTCACTGAAAGTTAGTTTTAATTTAATTAATAATTTTAACGTATCTGTTTCTAGATAGTGTATACAGCATGAGGACAAATACTTACAAGGGCTGGGTTTCACTTTCGACTTCTTCCAAGTAGTTGTCAACTAGTCAACTGCATGTATTTTGTTATCCTTCATTTTACGTCATGTATTTCTTTGTATTCGCAATTATCTTGCTTTAATAAGATACAGAAATTTCGTTCTCAATTCCTTACAAAAGTAATTTTGTGAAGAACAACTGTATTATTTCCGTATGACTGGAGTGTATGATGACGCACGGTTCAAATGATTACTTAAGGATTCGTCTATAGCTATAGCAGGCTGCCCAGTTTGAGGATTTCACACATACCTATGTTTTTTTCGTATGTGTTTTTTCCTTCTCCACAAAACGGTTTGTAGTAATTATTAAATTTGTCTGCAATTCAGAACCAGAGAAACTTGCAGGGATCACCTGTAAAATTTTCAGTACTGTTATTATTATAGAACACATAATTATTTCCAAGATTCATCGCTGTAAAATTCAAAACATACAAATATAAAAAGCAACAGACTAACCATATAAGCTCATTGCCTCTAAAAATGCAGCACATTTAAACTATGAGTGTGAATGTGATGATTCACACTGCCAGTGCTGTTCATATTCCTGTTTTGCTAGTGTCACAGGATGAGGAAAATTGCCTGTTACTACCAAGAAAAACAGGAACCAAAAATAGCCCTACAACACAGGCAAACGCACTAAAATACACAAGAAGAACTATAAACTTGGACAAGACAGCACACTTCTGTATCATGGGTAACAAATGTCATTTAGGTGCATATGGGCAGCACAGTGTGGCCTAAGCTGGTTTCTTCTAAAACACCAAAGCAAAAATTTTCAGTAAGACATTTCTAAACATTTTTGTGAGCACAATGGTTGCAGAATGCTGTTCCACACTAGATAAATACAGTAAACCAGTGTTGAAAATAACTGCTTTTGAAAAATATGTAACATAATTTCAAACTATAATTGCATGTTATTCTTTGATTTGATCAGTCTTAAAACAACCCAAATAAAAAAAACCCTCCAAACAACAAAGCCTTACATAACCAGGTTTGCTTTACTCCAAAATGCTGTTAAGGTTCAAAAATCAGTCTTTGTTCATAGACTGCACAGATGCGAAAAAAATCCCCAAAACGAAAACCATGAATGTCTACAGCCAAACTTGGTGTTGCAAGTTTCTTTTTTTTTAAAGTCCAAAGCTGGCTCTACCTTTAAAAGTCACTTTAGGACAGAAAAGTGTGTTTAAAAATGCAAATACTGTCCCAATTTTATACTTTTCTCAGTCAAACATTTTAGAGAAACTGTAAAAGTCAACAAAAACCCCATTACTAAATCCAACTTTGGCCTTTAAAGTGATCTTCAGACAAAATTTTGAAACAGGAGCAAGCAGAAACGTATTTCATATTTTATCCTACTTGTCCCTTCCCAAAAGGTCTCCAATGTTCCTGCAGATTGACATCTTCTAGGAAAGCAGTGACAAGTCTCTGCATTTAGATCCCACAGAAAACATGCAATGATTTTTTGCTAACTCAGGCCTTTGTACAAAGAATGCTAAAACCCAAGGATACAGTGATTTCAGTACTACTGGCTTGGGCCCTTTATTTAATGCTGACACAGTTCTAAAAGCTCTGTTTCGTCAATAACAGTTTTATTATACATCTTGTTTCTTATTTTATCATGACTGAACTTTAAATACATTAACTCATTGCTGCATGTGTGAACTCACTTTTTGTACTGAATACAGTAATCTGGAGATACAAATCACATAACACAGTAGCAGGTCATTTCAATCTAAGTTTACCAGTGTCACACCTGAATTTAATAGGGAAAAAAAAAAAGAGACTAATGCAGGCAATTATTCCAGGTAAGAAAAGTAAAAATATACATGCACTAACCAATTCTCTTCTCTTCCTGAACTGCATGTTCCCAACTACCAGGATGAAGCAATGATACTACCACCCTTTAAAAGAATCACTGTGTCGAAGTGTCACTGCCTGACTACATACTTGAGTAATTTTGTAGTTCCTTTCAAACATGCTTTATTTCGTTTCTGAAAAAAAGTGTATTTTAAAATATTTATAAAAGCAAGAGATTTAGTCTAGTTATTGTCAAATTGTTTAATGTAAAATTAAGCAATAGAAATCATTTGCAAAATTCTTCTTTTATGTCTTCTGCTATTTCATAGGATATTGGGTATAGGCACTTGGTAATATTATGTATGTCATATTTGCGCCTGATGTGTACCACACAAGTTAGGAGATATACAAAAACTTTAGGACTACAAACATCCAAATTGAGGGAAATATGCAAATGCACAGTTGTTCACTAAAACTGGTCTGGTTTTGTCTCTGCTGGTACATTTATAAATACTACAGTATGCAGTTAACTTATAAATTGTAAAAAAACTAGATAAATTCTCATTTCTTTTTAATCATATTGTGATTTAACAGTAAAACCACATGAAATACTTGTTTTCACAGTACACATTTAACACATCATGTTATTGCATATTATAAAATAAACATAAGACCTAGAAAGCAGCTTGAAGCAATTTACAACATATCTTCTAACAAAACGCAGTAATTAAAAAGTGCTTTTATATTAATTAGAGGTTTTCAAATGTCCAAGTAAACATAGTGTTACACTGATTCCAAAATACTGGCTCTGCATTCCACACACAACAGACATGGCAAAGGGACCATTTGTACCGTTGTCCATGTAGTTACTGTATCTATGCATCCATCTTCTGTTTGTGAAAAAAAACCAGGTATAAACACATCATTCAGGCATTGCAGTAAGATTTATACAAAGTGATTACAGTGCAAATGGACCTAAGTAGCTTGTTCACTAGGAACATAAGTGGGAGTCAGAAAATGCTGGAATGGGATTGAGGTGGAATAAAAAAACCTCAAGACTATAGAACCTCATCAAATGACTGAAGCTGATGTGTAAAGGTGAGCAGGCCTTATTCTCTAGTTTAAAGCAACTAAGTTTCTTACATGAAAATAGAAATCAGTCTAGCACTACTAAATTGGTTAATTATGAGTGATATAATTCTTATACAAACTACAAAACCACAGAATTACTTAATTCATAAATGTGATAGGAGGACTATGCATGTATGTTACCACAGATTTTTTTTTTTCTGGCAGCAGGGACATTCCTCTTGTGCAGCTGCACAGTGATCACAAAGTACATAATGCTGACGTGGATTCAGGGTAATACTACAATCACCTTCCTGACACAGGATACACTTCTTTGATTGAAGCTGAAAAATCACCTGTAAAAAGATTATTGAACTCAGTGAAACCAATTCCAAAGTACACAGTTGCATTCTAACAGCTTTACACCTAGTTGTCCTGAGTAAACTTCTAATTCAACAACACAAACAACAATGTTCTTGTATGACAGCTGAACTGAGTGTCATAATATCAAAGCACGTGCAACCTTCCAAGTAGCAGTTGGAGGGGTATAAGTGCTTTTAGAAAGGAAAATAGCTAGGATTAAACCTCTTCACTGAAATTTTCCTGCATAATTGGGATAAGTGATGTAAATAGGCAGGAAAAAAAAATAATCAAACCCCCCCCAAAATCCCCCCCCCCCCCCCCCAAACCCAAAACCAAATAACCAAAAAAAAAGATTAATATACTCCCTCATTTTGCCATTTCAAACCACTGTTACATTTTTCTCATGCCATGCATTAGGACAAAATGGAAGCATCCCAAATCTGTGACACTTCAGTAAAGCTACAGGCTTCAATAAAGATACAGACTTCACGGAGGATGTTACAATTGCAATGAATGTCTCCATGTTATAAGTCGTATCGGCCCTATTAAGGAACAAGAAAAAGTTAAGGAACAAGAACCTAAAAGCTGTGTTACTTTTTGAAGAGCAAGACCAGAATGCTATGTGTGGCACTGCCTAAGACAGCAACTTTCTCCTGGAAGAGCTGGGTGAGAAGAGGCCACAACAGCAGAGAAAATCTGAGACGCTGGAATGGTTCTGATGACTTCCATTGAAGGACGTAACGAAGTCCTTGGTAAGTGATTCAATGACTCCCTTGCTCCTCTTTAAAATCTCCCGTAAAAGAAAATCAATAGCAGTCCCTAATCCAATCCAGAATCCTGCAAATGTACTTGGTAACAGGAGCCTGGTAACTAGCAAGCTTTGCCCTTCTCCACCTTCTTTATTGAAAAAGATTTAATTTATGTTTTAAATTCTTCTAAAGAGAGCCTAGCTTTTTTTTTCTATTTGTTTGCACTGGACAGGAGGTTCACTGAGACAGAGAAGACACTGCTGAACTCAAACAAGTACTGAAGCATGGCAGACTGTCCCAGGAGTGCAAGGAAACCTTCTTTTGGTCTGGACAATCCTGTCACAGTCAAAACAAAACAGTAAGAATTGGAGGCAGATGTGGTGTTGCTGCCCCTTGAGTCTGCAGGAAAGAAAGCAATGTGAAACCAAGTTGTGCCCAGCAAGGTTGGAAGTATGGTGCCTGAAACAGTACATGGTCATTATTATCTTCACTGATGTGCTCAGAGGGATGGCACCTGATATTCCCAGCTTTGAGAGCCCTGAGAAATGCCCTCACTCTGGCAGTAAAAGAGCATCTTAAATTTTGGCAGAAATTGAGCCTGGATTTGAGAGAAGGTGAAATACAGCAATATGCTGCTAAGGTGATTAAGGGACTGAAGCATCTGACATACGAGGAGAGGCTGGAAGAGTTGAGATTACTTAGCTTTTTCAAAGAGATGGCATCTTACTGGTCTGTATAAATACCTGATGGGAGAGAGTAAAACAGAGAGGGACAGACTTTTCAGTAGTACCCAATAAAAGAAGAGCGAATGGGTACAAGCTAAAATTCCACACAGACATAAGAAAAAACGTTTCTTACTGTGAGGATGGTCAAACACTGGAAAAGATTGCCCTCAGAGGTGGTGGGCTCCCCATCCTTAGAGATACTCAGAACACTACCAGGCAAGGCACTGAGCAACCTCCCCAGGTAGACCTTGCTTTTAGCGAGGTGTTGGACTGGGTGATCTCCAGACATCCCTTCTAATGTCAGTAATTCTCCACTCCAAGTCTGTACTGGCTGCTCTGACACAAACTCCTAGCAGGGAACCTCACCACTTACCTTCTAAAGAAGTGAAAGGCATGCAACTAATTTCATTTGCTTAGGGCAACTATTTTCATTTATTTAGGTAGTGCCCAAAATGCTGGGGGTAAAAGCTGGCTTTAAACATTTTGTTAGTTTGGTTTTTCTTTAATCAGCCAAGAATTCTTGTGAATCACTTGTAATTTGTTCTGACAGCTGAACAAATTCTCAGAAGAAGAATCCATAAGGTTGAGAGATCTACTGCATCCTCTATTCCAGAAAAGAACAGCTTATTAACACTTAGAGCAATACTGCTCTTCGAAATGAAACCTGGCATAAAAATTTCATTAAAGGTTATTGAGCTGCCAGTTTCAGTCAATCAAAAACAGTTATGCAGATGAAAAAACTCACCTCATCTATTGTTTCTAAATCTAAGTGCAGCTGATTTTGTAAGGAACGAAGCTTTGGCAATGATATCTTATCTATATCTCCATGCTTTTTCATATAAGGTAGCGTAGTAGACAGACAAGCAGCTAACTGCGCCTTTAGCTTCTTTATTTTGTTTTCCACTTCCTCCTTCTTCTGAAGAGCGAGCTGTTTGTCCGCATCTGCGATGTCAGCACGTTCTTTTGCTTCTTGAGCCTCCTTCTGCCACGCATCGCATGCCTGGGAGAAAGAGATTTCCAGAGTATATTTTTTTAAAAATTAACAAAAGAAGAAAAATTCAAAAAGCAAAAAGACATAACAATGCATTTACTGTCTATTTCACACTTCTTTGTACTTATCCTACCTTCTAATTAACAACTCTTCTTGTGTTGTAATTTGTAATGTGATTTTTAGATATGTCACTGTTACTTGGCTGTAAACAGCCAGAAGGCTTTTTGGAACTCTACAAAATGAAATATATTTTAAATGTTAAATTTGTTATTTGATGTCAAGAGACATAAAAAACCTATCAAAAATTAGTACAGCTACTTAGCTACTCCTCGTCATAGAGAAAACAACATGAGGGGAAGGAAAGGACTACAGAAAATGCATGACTGGCAGTTATCAAACAACCTCAGTTTGACTGCTGAGGTGGCTACGTACTGTCCAGGCACACTATCCAACCACAGCTGCTGACAAGCCGCTACTTATTTGCATGCTTACCATGTAAAAGAGGTATGGGAGGGAATATATATCTTTTGTTACTGAAACACCAAGATATGTTGCTGTTCAGCACTGTTCTGATTATGTGTAAGTGTCCCTGTCTAGAGAGGCAGATTAACCTTGGGAAAATAAACTGCCCTTTAAAAAGCTGTTTCCTTTATGTTGCTAGCATTTCAAGGATGGAAAAACATTCCTTTGACAGACTGTAATAAAACTGTGTCCAAGGATAAGAAGATATGTAAAAAGGAGAAAGAGTAGTAACAGCCTGCTTGTTAAAATATATAGGTATATAATTTAATGTTACCACAAATTAGCATACCTGTTTTACCTGTTGCCAAGATTCTTCCCATTGTTTTAGTTTTCTCTTGGCATCATCAAGTTCCTGTCTAACTTGAGTTAGTTCATTCCCAGTGGCATTTGAACTTATTGATGGGGCAGTGCCACTGCTTAGTACTGGGGATGGACTAGGAGAGAAATTCCCAGTTACAAAGTCCCAAGTGCTCCCTGTAACACCATTTAAACCTGTAAAACAAAGGCAGAAAAAACAATTATTCTGCATGCACTGCTGCAAAATTTTCACATGCTGAACAAAACAGATGTGCCACATATGCAAAATTTATACTTTCACCTGCAAGGCTCATAACATTATTTCGCTACCTTCAGAAACGTGACAGTCAGGAAAATGTTTTCGGTATTTACAGCAATTCAAGAGACTTACCACTTTTTTATTTTTTTCTTTTTCTTGCCGCTTTTAATAAAAGTACAGTCCACAGAAGGAGAAGGAATAGTGAGAATTCATTTATATACAAAATGGGCTGTTCCTAGCAGCTCATACCTAATTTTAGTTCTTCCTCTTTCTGTTTTGTGTTTTCCTTTAGCAAAATGCTGCAACTAAAATGCATTCTTGTTGCCTGTATGCAAACCCTTTATTTTACTCCTTTCAAACACCTCTGAATACGTCTCCTCTTTCAAGAATTTTTTCCCTTCACTAGGAACAGAAGTAAACTCCTTGAACTTTCTCCCACTGTCCTGGGTTCAGCTACAGCAGTCATTTTTCTCCTTCTCAGTAGCTGGTGCAGTGCTGTGTTTTTTGACTTTCAGTCTGGGAACAACGCTGATAACACCGATGGTTTTAGTTGTTGCTCAGTAATGTTTACTGTGACCAAGGACTTTCTCAGTCTCATGCTCTGCCAGGGAGGAGGGGAAGCCGGGAGGAAGCAGAGACAGGACACCTGACCCAAACTGGCCAAAGGGCTATTCCATACCACAGCACGTCATGCCCAGGATAGAAACTGGGGAGAGCTACTCGGAAGGCCCAGATCGCTGCCTGGGTCAGGCTGGGTATTGGTTGGCGGGTGGTGAGTGGTTGCGTCCTCCCCTCTTGTTATTTCCCTTATCATTATTATTGGTAGCAGCAGTGGTTTGTATTGTACCTTAGTTACTGGAGTGCAGTTATCTCAACCCGTGGGAGTTACATTCCTTCGATTCTCCTCCAAATCCCCCTGGGAGCAGGGGGAGGAAGAAGGCAGGGAGTGAGCGAGGGGCTGCGTGGTTCTGAGTTACCAGCTGGGCTTAAACCACAACACCCACATACCACATACAGCCCATTAGCAGTAGTGTTATCAATTACAACCACTGGGCTTTGCCGTCCAGATGAAGTCATAAGAAACATGCAAAGCTCTGAACTGAACATTTCTTACCTGCCATTAAGTTCCCTCCTAAAATACACAAAATACAGCTCTCAACTTACTCACCTAAAGAGTTGTGAGAAGAAGCTGAGGTGCCTAACATGCTATGTTCTGTCTTCAAAGGCAGCTGGTGGAAAGGAGCTGTAGTGGATGAAACAAAAGACTGAGACACCGATTGTGAGAGAGAACTGAGTGGAGAAGTTGAAAGGGATGATGACGAATGTAAAGACGAGGAACGAACAAGAGAACTTGCAATACTGACAGGTGCTGAACTTCCCACTAATCTTTGACCTGTGTATGCATGGGGAAGAAAAAAAAAAACAAACAAAAAGCCCATTTGTTCCAAAGCAGTACACAGCTTTTGGTAAGCACTTTTCTGAAAGTCCAGTCAAATGCACGTTAAATTACATAGTCAAACATCTCCCATTAAAAACTCCCAACCTTTATTTATCTCCTATTGCAAAAATATTTTTTTAAATGGAACACTTGAAATTGAACACTTTGAGGCACTAGTTTTTCCTAGTGCCTGAAAACAGACTTTGTAGCTTTTTACAGTAGTGGCCTCATCTGCAGCTACGAAGAAAAGTTTTTCAGATCCAGTTATTCAGCTTACGCATTTTTACAGCCAACAACTAACGCAAGTGGAGAAACAGACTGAAACTTAAAGTATTAAGAAAAATATGTATTTTAGTTAAGCAAGTGAGACTACATACCTTGAAAATCATACACAGCGTAATTATCAGACATACGCACAATTTCTTCCGTCTACATACTTTTGCTTTTATTCAATAGATTTAACTGTCAAATGTACTCAACTATCTATGAAAAATTAGTTTGAAACAAAGTAAAAATTAATAATAATTTAGTCAAACAAATGCATTGCTCATAATTTCCCAAAATAATGATGTAATGGTTTACATTCAGCCAGCAACTAAGTACCACACAGCTGCTCACTCGCCCACCCCAAACCCTCCCTGGGTGGAATGGGCAGGAGAGTAAAACCTGCGGGTTGAGATAAGAATAGTTTAGTAAATAAAATAAATATACTACAACTACTACTAATAAGGGAAATAACAAGGCGAGAGATACAAAACTAAAAGGCAAAACAAAGAAAACAAGAAACACAAGTGATACACAATACAACTGCTCAGCACCCGCTGACCAATACCCAGCCTGACCTGAGCAATGATTGGTCCCTTTTGGGTGACTCCCCCTGGTTCATATACTGGGCACGATGTGCTGTGCTACGGAATACCCCTTTGGCTAGTTTGGGTCCAGTGTCCTGTCTCTGCTCCCTCCTGGCTTCTTGTGCCCCTCCTCACTGCAGAGCATGTAAGACTGAAAAGTCCTTGCTCAGGTTACGCGCTACTGAACAACAACTAAAACATCGTTGTGTTATCAGCACTGTTCTCAGGCTAAACCCAAAACGCAGCACTGCACCAGATACTACAAAGAGAATTAACTCTGTCCCAGCTGAAACCAGGACAAATGATAATAATATAATAAACAGGTAATAAAAAAGGAAATTCAATTATGCAATTACTTACATATAAATTCACAGATGCAGTAAGTTTTCCTGGTCAGGAAACAGTTCAATATTTACTGTGAAGGTTTATTCATCAATATGTTTGACTAGCACCTAAAAATGACACTACCTTTTCTCTAAAAAAACCACAAACAACAAAACCCTAAAAATGCAGTCAAATGATTATGCTTAAAGCAAGGGTCATGATTCTAGTTTTCTGGCTTTGCTTAAAACAGGTGAATTCATATAATCAGGGGCATCATTCCTTTCAGAAGTATTTCAAAACAAAAAGATAGGGATGCTCATCGTAAGCTGCGCTGCCACAATATCTCAAAAAAAATAAACCTTGAAATACCCAGCAAATGATACCAAGGTCAGCCTCATGACCGAATATATGATGAAGATACAGGACACGCATATAACCACAGATGTATGTAATACACCAGACAATAAACGTACACTGCTTTTTGCAACAAGAGCAAGGAAGCAACAAAATAAAGGGAGTTTGTTAAAAAATCTGGCCAAGCAAGAATTCTTTTAAATATTAATTAAGAGCCAAAATGAAGCCCCCAAACAACATGAAATGGTAACAGAAGAACCATCTCTTTTCTGGTTCTTAAAATAATCTTCAAATCCAGCTGAACTTTGGCAAATACAATCTGCCTGCATGTCTTGAGTTCACAGGGCAAGGCTAGGGGGGGGAGGCGGTGCTGCAGGGATGGCCAGGAGAGGCACAGCCAGCTCCAGCTGGCTCTAGCAGACCTGCTGCAGGACACAGTGTGCCCTTCAGCCATACTGGTACCACCTCTGGGAGAGCATATTTGAGAAAGGGCAAAAAAATGTCACACAGGCAGAGGATGAAGGAACAAAAGGTATGAGAAACAGTCCTGTGAACACCAAGGTCAGGAAAAAACAAAGTGGAGGAGGTGCCCCAGGGGCCAGAGCAGAGATTTGCCTCTGCAGCCCATGGAAGGTTTGGAAGAGACCACAGTAGAGCAGGTATATCTCGCACCCCATGGAAGAGACTATGGTAAAAGCAGGAAGTTCTCTGCAGCCTGTGGACAGGACCAGGTTAGAGCAGGTGGATATTGCCTGAAAGAACCGCAGCCCATGCAGAGCCCATGCTGGCACAGGCTCTTCTGACAGGAACTGCAGTCCATGGGGAGGACCTGCACTGGAGCAGGGACAAGTGTGAAGAGGAAGAAGTAGCAGAGGGGAACTGTTATGAACTAACCACTGCCCCCCATTCCCCATCCTCCTGTGCTGCTTGGGACAGGAAGGAAGAGGTAGAAGATTTGGGAATAAACTTGAGCCTGGGGAAAAGGTTGCAGGGGGTTGGTTTAGTCTTTCTCTTTGTTTCTCACCATCCAACTACTTTAATTGGCAATAAATTAGTTTTCCCCAAATCAAATTTATTTTGCCCATGACAGCAACTGAGTGATCTTCCTGTCTTTATCTTGACCCATGAGCTTTTTCATCTTATTTTTGCCCTGTGTCCTACTGAGGGAGGCGGGGGGAGTGACAGAGCAGCTGGATGAGCGTCTGGCTACCCACCAAGGTCGACCTATTACACTACATGAACTATATTCTCCACATACAAGTGAAATTATTTCCTTCCTGTTCCATACTTCATGGTACTTCCAATGACACATAATCATTTCTGCAGCATAGAACAAGGCAGTAAATGAAATACCAGTCAAACAAACTATAGCAGCAGTAGAATTTTTGAACCCAACGTGACTAGCAGAGAAATAAATTTGAAATTGCACATATTATCAGTTTCTTTCCAGGTCTGTATGAATGGGCATATCATCAACAACCATGGAAAATATTTATAGATAACATATAAACTGTTCTGGTGAAGGAATGACCCGTTACCATCATCACCAGACAGAAAATTGTAAGTCAATCAACCGAAACAAATATAAAGCCCTAAAACCTCTGAAGATATTCCCACTAATGTTATCAACAAGAATCTGCATAAAACTAGATGACTACCTATTGAGACTGTAACATTTTGGGTCATTCTGTATGGATTCCCTGATAACCTGAAGTATACAGGTACCACAAATATAGTCTCTAGTAGAAAAGAACCACCTTGGGAGAAAACACAGTCAAGATAGGAGTGGCACCACAGCTTGCAGCACCGTTGAGATCTCAGAAACTAGTATTTGGCATAACTTCTTAATTCGTGTTATCCAGCACTGGTTTCTTCTAGCTCTTGCTATCAGTAATGAAGCCACTGCTACGATCTGCCTATATCTACTTGATGCCAAAACATCACCACCACCAAATATGAATTGTAAGCTGCCTCCTCAAATGGTCTGCTCAGATCTGAAGACAAACATGTCACCAGTCACTTTATGTGAGGCATCTTCTGCCAACTTTCAAATGAGCAAGGTGATGAAGTGAAAAGTGAAAGATACTTTAAATTAGTGTAATTTTACAAACTGAACCTCTTACTTGTTAATCCAAGGTCACTGCCTTCTTGATCTTCTAAGTCTCTATCTACAGATGCATCCTTCACATCATTAAAATGCAAATCAAAAGCAGAACCTGTTAAACAAAACATTTTATCAATACATTATCCTTGAATTACCCATAAAACTACCACAATGGGTGAAATGAGAAAAGTTTGACTATTTTTGTTAGTGCTTCCATCACGGAAGACTTTTGCATCTAGGTCATGATCTTAAGCATACTAGAGATACAGAGTGAAGGATATCTGTGTTTTCTAAAAGGGAAAACTCTCATATATAAGCTATTACAGCACTTCAGGCTGCTGAGGCGAATAGAGGATAAGGTGGAAAGGTGGCTATTTATCTGGATTTTCAAGAAATCTGTGTCACCCGTTGTGCTTACATGTACACCAACAGAAAAAGAGGAAAAATAAAATTTGGATACCTATGTAAAACTACTTTTTATCATTATTGAATAAAACCAGGTATGATGCCTGCAGAAAGAGGGTAAATGTCCCTTACAACAATTAGCCCTTGGGTAACTGAGTTACATACCAGGGCATACAGATGTAAGGAATGTCACAATATTAAAATAAGAATGTGCAATACGTTAAAATAAATTAAGTAAAAATCAAATATCAGTATTCCCTTTAGACTCAACAAGTAGACTGCCTTTCATAACGTCTTATGTCGGTCTAAAATTTCTCTGACCAATGACAAAGTTCTAAACAGTATACTTCTTCTTAGGTCCACGGCTTATAAAGTGGTAGAAGACGAGTGTTTTTCCCTTTCTTCCTCTTAACTTCTTTTCTGTGCAGAAAGGGGTGTAATTAAGGAATTTATCCCTCTGTTCCTATACTTCATCAAATGTTGAACAACTCCACAATCAGGAGGACACAAGAGAAATACTGATTTTACAGGCAGGAAAGTGAATATCCCAGTCACTGTGGTCAGTGATAGTGATCACCTTTATGAAGAATTCTTAGATTTTATGTTGAAAATCATTATTAAAAACTGGCACAAAGCCTAAATGCAAAGGAACCAACAGAAATTAAAGACACACTGGCTTGTGTAAAAGTTTCAATAAGATCCAAAGGGGATCTCTCAATCCCTTTGGATTTAGACTGATTCCTCTCTCATAGCCTAGTCCTAAACAATATGCACTGTAAACGGCAGAAAATCTCTGGCAGAAGTACTATATAGTTGTAAAAGTGCTAAAAGTCAGAAACTGAGAGGATCATTTGGATCATTATTATAAGCACAGTGCAGCGTTATCACGTATAGGCATTTTCTGATGTTGACTAGGCTATCTAACGGACTCCACAGGCTTGGAGCTCAGATGATACATAAAGGGAATTAGTGACCTAGAAGCAGGATCCTAGAGCACAGAACGGTGCT